GGAGGTTGACTGTTCCACTTCACTAGTACATCATGTTCGTTTGGAAGTTTTTGTGATGACTGAGATGTTTCCGGAGCCTCAGATCGGCGCTAGTCTCGGCGTGATTTGACGTAAGGTTTGTGGGGATAGTATGTCTCGGTTACTCTCTTCTCCTACATCCATATTCAAGGTCGTCTTTTGCAGTTTCCGGTCATTTTCCCACCTAAGCCGATGATTTCTTCTGTCATTGGAGTTCGACTAGGCGACAGCAACGACAACGTTGGCTGGCGGCTGTTCTGAGAAATTAGGGATTCTTAGGGTTTCTTATGTTGTACTGGCCAAGCCCATTAAATTATTTTGCTTAGGGTTTTTAACCAGGTCTAAGTCTAGGTCTATTTGGTTAGATAAAAAAAAATTATAAAAACTAAAAAAATTAGTTAATGAAAAGTTTCAAAAAAACAATTAGGGCCCCACCGTATGTACGGTTTGACTAGAGAGACAAGGTTTTGTCGTCTATTTTAACTCCGTGTTCGAACTTGTTGTGCTGGACAGGATCCTGCCGTCGATGTACTCAACAACGAAACTCGTTTTTTTTTAACTCACCTGTCGCAATCTTAATTGACTTAACATCTCAGTGGGATCCGTCGTTCCATTCTGTACCAATCTTATCAGCTCTAATTGGGCCTTCGCTTTTATCCAAAGCCACTGTTCTCTATATTAAAGATTTTTTTTTTTGCTAAGATTCAAATGGAAAATTTACGATGAAGAGTCTGCATTGCTACGTGGGTATATATAGGCACATATTACAAACACAAATCGCTTAAAATCAATTTAGATATAGAGATAGATCATAGAGATTGGGTTAATAGGCGTTGGTTATTTATGGTTTAGTCTCTTGTTAATCTGTGTATAAATACCTTGTACAATACATTTTTGATGATTAATAAAGATAAACTTATTTACATTTTTTTAAAATGGTATCCGAGCGAACGATAGGGTTTCTTCTCTTCTTCATCCTCATGATCGATCAATTTCTTCACCATTGATTCGATTTTGAGCTTTTCTCTTCTGCAAATCTTCTTCAATCATCTTTGTTTACCTTCGATTTCATTACCATGGCGAAAGGCGGTGCTCGAACTCGTAATCGTCATGTTTCACCGGCTCCTGAATCTCCAATCGACTCTCCGACGATTCAATCTCCGCCTCGCGGTGCTTCTCAACCTGTCAGACACACTCGGGGACAGTCCAGCACTTATTATGTTCCTTGATCGGAAGAACGCGTCTCTTCTG